ATGTGAAGGTTATTCTCTTTGCACCAGCTCTCCAGGTGTTCCACCTCTTGCCTGTAGCTGGACTCATCATTGTTTGTGATGCATCCCACCACCGCTGTATCATCTGCAAACTTTACAATGTGACAGCCTGGATGGGTAGCTGCACAATCATATGTGAGCAGAGTAAACAGGAGGGGGCTCAACACACATCCCTGAGGAGAGCCAGTGCTGAGGGTTATGGTGGAGGAGGAGAGGTTGTGGATCCTCACTAACTGTGGTCTGTTTGTTAAAAAGTCTAGTACCCAGTTGCAGATGGAGGGGCTTAGTCCTAGTGTGGATAGTTTGTCCATCAGGGTTTGGGGGATCATGGTGTTGAAGGCGGATGTGAAGTCCACAAAGAGCATACGGACGTAAGAGTTTTTCTGCTCCAGGTGGTTGAGCGCAGTGTGGACCACAGAGGAGATTGCATCCTCTGTTGATCGGTTCTCACGTTATGCATACTGATGAGGGTCCTCGTTGATGTTGATGGTTGTTTTGATGTGAGTCATGACCAGTTTTTCGAAGCATTTAGCGACTATCGGGGTGAGGGCCACTGGCCGATAGTCATTCAGACCAGTCACTGTAGAGCTTTTTGGGACTGGGATGATGGTGGCAGTCTTCAGGCAGGTGGGAACTGTCTCCAGGGTAAGTGAGGTGTTAAAGATGTCTGCCAGCACCTCACAGAGCTGATCAGCACATTCCTTCAACACTTTTCCGGGGATGTTGTCTGGGCCAGTTGCTTTGTGCGGATTAATCCTCCTGAAGGTACTCCTTACTTCTGCTGAGGTCACGCTGAGATGCTCTTCATCCGGTGGCGAGGTGAGTCTGGTGCTGGGTGGTCTGTTCGGGTCTTCAAAGCGTGCATAGAACTTGTTGAGGGCATCAGGCAGAGATGGGTCTTTGGGGCATTGTTCACTCCTTCCTTTATAATCTGTTATGCACTTAATGCCCCTCCACATGCTCCGAGGGTCTTGTGAGATGAATTGACCCTCGATCCTCTTTGCATATGTGGCCTTGGCCCTCTTAATACCAGCAACCAGCTCTTTTCTTGTCCTACTCAGCTCCTCTGAGTTTCCAGACCTGAAGGCAGTGTTCCTGGCTTCCAGCAGGGTACGCACCTCTGCATTCAGCCAAGGTTTTCTGTTTGGGTAGCTTTTAACATTTCTGATAGTGGAGACTGTGTCAGTACATGTACTAATGTAACCCAGTACTGAGGATGTGTATTGGTCAAGATCAAGCGAACCTCCATTTTCAGCAGCTTCTCTGAAAACCTGCCAGTCTGTTCGATCAAAACAATCTCTCAGTATGGGGCCACTGTCCTGGCTCCAACTTTTAACTTTCTTTTGTACCGGTCTGGAGCGTCTCAGCGGGGGCATGTAAGCAGGAGCCAGGAAGATTGAGATGTGGTCTGACAGTCCTAGGCGGGGGCGGGGTTCGGCTTTGTATGCATCTTTTACGTTCGTGTAAACACGGTCCAGCGTGCGGTCTCCACGTGTTGGAATCGTCACATGCTGATTAAAGCTTGGGAGACAGTCCTTTAGATTCATGTGGTTAAAGTCTCCGGCTACAACGTAAAGAGCCTCGGGGTGTTTGTTCTGCAGCGAGCTGATGATATCATGAAGCTCCTGTAGTGATTCGTTAGCATTAGCGTCCGGAGGAATGTAAACAACTGTGATAAAAGTCACTGTGAACTCTCGGGGTAGATAATGTGGCCGACATTTCACTGTTATTTGCTCCAAAGCCTTCGAGCATGAGCTATTTACAACAGTACAGTTCGTGGACCAACTTTTACTCACGTAAATGCACACTCCGCCCCTCCGTGATTTCCCCGTTAGCTCGCTGCAGCGGTCCGCTCGAAAAAAAAAGTCTGTCATCCAGCTGGAAGACTGAGTCCGGCGTTTCACTTGTAATCCACGTTTCCGTGAGGCAAAGCACTGCACACTTCTTCATCTCTTCTGAGGCGCCTGCTCTCAGACAAAGTAAATCCACCTTGTTGTCCAACGAGCGGACATTCGACAGAAAGAGAGACGGCATGGGGAGTTTACCGGCTTTAGCGTTAGCTCGTAGCCTCACCATAACCCCCGCCCGGCATCCTCTCCTCTTAAGCCGGGAGCAGCGCTTCCTCTTCTGCCCGCTGGAACGCCTCTGCTGCAGCTTCCAGGTAGATGACTTTAAGATCTGCATTCTGCCAAGCGTAGCTTTGAGTTTGTTGCTGATTTCTGCTATATTTCGTGGCAAATCCGCTCCTATTCTCATCAGTTCGGTTCGGCTATAGTTCACACGCATAAATCGCGCAGAGTCAGGCACAGAGTCAATATCAAAACTTCTAAAAACTGGGATGGTACCGGGAGCCTGTGAAGCTGCAACTGCTCTGAGCGCGGCCATCTTGGAGCATCATGTGTAATCTCCAGCAGCATCAGAGTCTTTATCTGAGTTTGATCCTAAACCTGTTCATGTACCTTCAGAGTCAGATGATGCTGAAGAGAAACTGTCTCTAACAAACAGTCTTTGATAAACCAAGACAGCACGGAGGTGTTAGGTGGGTCACCATGCACGCAGGTGTCTGGTCCCTCCATCTGACCTGTAGATGCTGCAGAATAAACAGAAGACAGCAGCAGAAGGATTGAAGAACATTGTGTGAGAAGACAACACCAGTTTACAAGTTCTTCAGGGGTTGTTGCAGCAAGTGATCTCACACAAAAGATTTGATAATTGTTTTATACAGGAAGCCCTTTCTGACCCCAACCTAGGCTCAAACCTGCTGTCTAATGATTATGAGACTGCAGCACTAACCGCTGAGTCACAGACCCCTTTTCACGAAGTCTGTGATATGATTAATTTGAGAGCTACAAAGCACATTACCATAAATATACACATTTAAGTCAGAGTCAGAGTCAGAGTCAGAGTTTCTTTATTGTCATTCGCACCTCATGTGGTACATGTGGTGGAGCGAAATTATGTACACAGGGTCCCAGTTACATCCAACAATAAATTGTCTAAGAAAAACAGTAATAACATCCAAGATATGAACCAAGAAAAACATCAACCAAATATACACTAAGCACTCATAACATAAAACATTGAACATCAGCACAAACATGAACATGAGTCCGTGAGCAGATGTGCACGCATGAACACATCAACATTGAAACAGATCAGCAGCAACACGAAACAGATCAGCAGCAACATGATATGGTTTTTCACAGCGACCATTCTAGTTAGAGATTCATGAGTCCAACAGCCTCAGGGTAGAAGCTGTTCCTCAGTCCAGTGGTTCTACACTTAATGCTCCTTAACCTCCTTCCTGAGGGGAGCGGGGCAAAAAGTGTGTGTGCTGGGTGGGTGGGGTCCTTCATGATGCAGGTGGCCCTCTTCCTGCATCTGGAGGTGTAGATGTCTGTGATGGTGGGGAGACTGATTCCAACAGATTTCTGTGCAGCCTTCACCACTCTCTGCAAAGCTTTTCTTTCTGCAGCTGGGCAGCCTCCATGCCACACATTGATGCTCGAGCACAGGATGCTCTCCACTGCACACCTGTAGAAGGAGGTGAGGACAGAGCTTCCCAGACCAGCTCGCCTCAGCCGTCTGAGGAAGTAGAGTCTCTGATGAGCTTTCTTGATCAGGCTGGTGGTGTTGTTGCTCCAGCTGAGGTTGTCATTCATGTGTACACCGGTAAATATGAAAAATAAAGTAAATATGTATTAGTTTGAGAAATCTAGGATCTGGTCAAAATAAATATTTTGAGTCTGTGTTTCAAAGTGTTTGCAGGATCAGGAAGAGCATCCTCAGGTGAGGGGCAACAGCTTGAGCAGCTCCCAGTTTAGCCCTGGAAGATGTATGAATGTTTCTGTGCAGTGCCCTGAGATGACGTTTGTTGTGACTTGGTGCTATATAAATAAACTGAATTGAATTGAATATGTATGTATGTACTGTGTGTATCCTTTATTTAACCAGGAAAATAACTCACTGAAATTAAAAACCTGGAAAGATCGAGTCAGTTTGAATGTTCAAAGCAGAGGAAAAGTGTTGTGGGGTACGAG